CCTGCGTTTCTGCAGCTGTTCGACGAAAAAGCCCAGGCATGCCAAGTTTGTTTGATAAATTGAGGGGAATTGTTCATGCCCACCACACGACTCCCTTAGCCTTAGGCGTGGATAATAAATAAAAATAGAGAACAGGCCTGCCAACACAGATAGCCTGCAAAACTCGGATTTATCCGACCTCAAAATGCCAAATACATAATGTACGTACATATGAATTTCGAATTTTTCGTGATAAACTTTGTGATGATCGGAGTGTTTGTAGTGTTTGGCATCTGACACCAAATTGTTGGTACATTGCAGATAGTACGTAGTACACTGAATGGTGATACCAAGTTTGAATTTTGTGCCACCCAGTGAGTGTTCCAGTCGACAACAAGGGCCTAAACTTTAACTCGCCCATGTTATCATACCCCATCCATCAGTTACATGCAGTAGAGCCTGGCAATGGACTTCAAATGTAAATTCTCGACTTACCTCGTTGCAACTTGTTTGATAGACACAATATGTTTTTTATCACCTTTGAAACTACTATGCAAGTCCACTGTATTTGAATACGGTCGTGGTTATGTTTGCCATTGGACCGATAACTTTTTAAGGGGTTTGGTATCTATGGTTTTTAAGCGTATATAAAATATATTTTAAAGGAATAATATAAGATATGCATTTAATTATGCAACGAAGTGGTGGACAAGTTATGTGGTTCTTTAATTCAATCTAAAGTAGTCCGTCAACTCGTTGATACACTTCCCATTCATCTTACAGTATCATTATCTTAACCATTAGCTCTAATCATTTAATAGCCGTGAAATACATATAAATTCATTCACGAATATTAGTATTCCAACAGATAGCGAAAAACAATCAAATAAATTTTACTAAAATGTTATTTATTTTAAATTTGATAACTTCCTTCAGTGTTCGGTACCTCTACCCAAAGCACCAGGCAACCCTGTGAACATTTAAGTATAGAGGGTTGCATTCACGCGAAAATGCCCTTTCAAGAAATGCTAGAAAAATTTGTAGATGCATGGAAGTGCTGATATATTACAATGTTATCCACCGTTTTTATAGATAACTAAATCATATTTTCCACTGATAATCACAAATAATTTGCCCTTTTATTGCACTAAGGCTCTATCACATATTTTTCACGTGAGAAGAGAGAAAAAACATGGTAACATGGCGGCTCGTTGCATTTGACTTATTGGTTTTTGGCTTTATTATCGGAAACGTTTAGTGATTATTTAATAAATATGTGCCAATGGCATGTCTCACTCTTTTGATTTCACTTAAATGTGCTTATTGCTATAGATCAGCCGTAATAGTAGATAATGCTATGAGGTGTTTGTGGTGCGCCAGTATTTACCGCGTAATCTGTGCAGCTAGACGTCTTGTTGTTGACACGGATTTGTGCCCCAAGTGCTACTCAGCAAGTGAAACAATGTATCTCTCTGAAGGCGACACTGCCAATATCTTGGATGCTAATAACAATGCCAAAATTGATATCAGTCTAAAATTGGAGAACGAACGAGGAAGGAATGCTCTGCGGAATTTGCCAATGTGAATTCGCAGCTGTCCGTAATTGACAAAAAGATAGCAGTCCATGATAAAATGATAAAGGTCTCGACCAATATTGAGAGTAGAGTGTCAGTTGTTGAGAGTGCTGCGACAGGTACGAACGATAACGTTTTGAACGAAATCTCTCAACGTAATCTCCACCAAAACAATGTAATTACTCGTTTTATATTCGAAGCTCGGGAGGGCCTGGCACAAACACCTGTGACTCGTAAGAAGCATGACGGAAAGGTGGAGCATTTATTTCATTACTTGAAAATTGAACGTGATTTACATATCTTGACAGTGTATGAAGTTAGTAAACTAATTAAAGCTCACCTAAGCTGCGTCCTCTTAAACTTATCTT